CTGCCATCCTGCAATCCTTGGAGGCATCAACTTGACCGATCTATGTTCTCACAAGGGAGGAATGCCCAGCATGCCCACTCATCACACACTGTCGCCACAATCCTCCGAGGCAGCATCTCATGGTATTCCTACAGACATTGGGAAGGGGAGACAATTTTACCAAGCTCTACTCGGGGTAAAATGTCTGGTACTTGTTGCAGAAGCAAAATCCTGCCTTCTGTGTGCCTGGCATCCCACCTTTGACACCAGTTTGTAGGAGAACTTTCCCAGGGGTAATTTGAACCAGAGACCAGGACACAATTACATTGAAATACAAATAGGTTTATTGACAGCACTGGAGGCAAAGACAGACCAAAAGCGGGGAGGGGTTACAATCCCTCTTTATAGATTTATGCAAATTAGAGTATATAGTACCTGTGATTGGTACCATAGCAAGATTTGGGGGCACAGACAACAGCAAGTATTTGATTGGATATGCCACACCATATACCTAGTGAGGTCAGTGAGCCCATTAAGATAATGGAATAGGACTATAAGGAGACAGTACTTCATGAACATAATTTCTTTTTAGGGAGGTATTTTCTTTTTGCTTTTCTAGAGCTCTGCTCGCCTCCCAGGATCTTTCCTAGCTTATCAGCATTTCTTTTCCCTCTAAATGCTTTACGGCTGAGCTGAGAGTTTTCATTTCCCTGGGGAAATGTGTTTGGGTTAGGGGCATTTAGCCTGATTCCTCAAATTCTCCTTCAGCAGTAAATGCAATCAGCCATTCTGGATGGACATTTTGTGAAATGTCACTGTCACTGCTCTCTGTGCTCTTCTCACAGCAGAAAGGTTCCCTCACTGTCATTTCTACTGTCCAGTCCTTTCAGCAGTATGTTTAACATGTTCATATTGCTTTCTAAGAACAAAAGCTCACAGTATGGCTCTTACCCATTGAGCTTTCGATGGTCTCAGAGTACAAGGCTGCAGTTAAAGAACATGTGCATTTCCATGAGCAAACTAATGGCATGAACCCTTGGCAACTTGAGTGAATTATGATTTTTTTCAGTTAAACACCTTGAATCTACCACTTTAAATCCAATTTCTGGCATTCATGTTGAATAAGATCTTTTTAAAAATATATTGATAGTTTGGGGGGGTTGCCATGTAATCATTATTGGTTGAACCAATAAAGCTGCACCTCTCCCTATCTCTGAACCCCTGGTATGTTGTACTTCCAGGACCAAAGAATCCAAAGAGATCCACTGGCAATTAGGAAAAATAGCTACAGACATGTTCAGCCAATCACTGTGTGGGTAGAAGGAATTACAGGAAAGAAGCAGCACTGAGGTGGGTAGGACTGTCTTGCTATGTCTTGCAATTATTTTAAATTCTTTTAGCAGTCTCACTTTTTTCTTATTAGTTGTTAGATTTATATCTTACCTTTCCTCAGGAGCACAAGGCAGTATACAGGGCACTCTGTCCTCTGCACACTTGCTAAAAATACTTCTAATATGGTTCAAAGGCATCTTTTTCCAGGTACACCTTTAAAAAGCCAGCTTCTGTCATATAAGTGTCACCAACCTCATAATCTTGTTTGCATCTAATTAATCCTTTCTGAAAATAGCAGAGCTTGGAATAAGTAATTCTGGAGCTGCCTATTTTGACTCAAACCCTGAATCACAAATGGAATTCAAGAAACTGAAGTTTGGTCAGCATGGGTAATCAACAATGTTTCACTGGTGACATAACCAAAGATTGGAAAGTGGAGAGTATGATGTAATATTGAAATAAGATGTCGGAAAAATTAGAGTGGACTGATGTCAATCATATTCAATCCACTATTTACATTCACCTTTCTGTTATGACATGATTTGAGATTTCAGTATCAGCTTCATATATGTGCTCCAGAAGCTGCTGTGAAAATGTAAAAGAGGGCCACTCCTGGGAAGACAAACTCTGGTGGTTAGAAAAACAGACCCAGGAAGAAAGGGGATGCTGGCTGGAGAGGTAAACATCTATAGTGACAGCAAGGTTGTGTAAGGCAATTTAGTCTAGCAACTGGCAAGACTATGAAAGATCTCAAGGAAAAGATTTCAGTAGAGCTTCTCTGTCTGGATGGAGGACCTTGAACCAAACGTTTGGCCCACTTTAGTTGCAAAAGGCAGGTGAGTAAAAGGGGGAATGAATGTGCAGGTAGTAGTGAGGGCAAAGAACTTTCTTTCTCAATAAAGCTTTGTAACCTATGGAACATTGTGTGCTTATAGCTCACTAAAAATTCTAGCTGCTCTTTCTGCTGAAGGGAAAATAGGGAAAAGAATCCCACTGAGTGTGATTGCTCTTCCTTCCCGTCTTCTTCACCTCGACTGCGCAAAATTAGCTCCCTTATGATGTCCGGTCACTGTCGCTTGTGAACAATTGATCAAAGCAGGTGGAAGGAGCTTGAGAAATTATTGAAGAAGAGAAAGGAGAGACAGAAGACAGAACTCAAACATTCTCTCTCTTGGAACCTCCTAGTGACTTTAAAAGGTCTCACCAGCCTAAAAGCTAACATGGCACAAGCACAAGCATCTCAAAACAAGCCATCATGAATATGATTTAACAGGTAGTATAGGGACCTGATTGGGATACAGCAGTTATACTGTATCATGCTGTCATTTTATTGCTCATTGGGTTTGCTCTCAGCTGCCATTATAGGTTTTTATACTAATGTATTTTAATGTTTATTGGTGGGGGGAGGGTTGTGATGTTACTGTAGCTGCCCAGAGTCATTCCAAAAAGATGGATGGCCATATAAATTGAATAAAGAAATAAATAGTTCAAAAGGAACAAAAGAAATAGAAAGGCAGGAAGAGTTGAATCATATGCTAAAAGTATCTATGTCTGCTCAGAAATATCAGTGTATAAACCCAGCAGTGCTATGGAGAGCATCTGAGTGAAAATTAGGGGAGGAACAAATACAAGCAATACTGTAGTTGGTCCCTCTCATTGCCTAATCAGTCAAAGAAAAGTTGTGGATAATGTTTACCAAAAACAAATTGCAAGTCTTTCAAAGCAGCATGAACAGTAAACACGGGTACATCTTTGGAGAGGCAAATTCCAGATGTCTCTTAGTGACAAGTTTCTCCTTCAGAGAGTGGAAGATTAAAACAATTTTTATATATTAATCATTACATGTTCTATTTTATGGATGTTTTTATTTGTATGTAGTCTGGTCTCTGATATTAATAAATTAAATTCAAATCATAATCCCATATCATCCTGAGATATTTTATTACATTTCACTAAACCATATGTTCATTCAAAATATATTGAATTAGCATTGAATATGTTAACAGCTGCATGGATTTATTGGAAAAGATCTTTGATCCTCTGTATGGAAGAATGGCTAACCAAATTGTGGGAGTGTGCTTCGATGTCTAGAATAACTTGTATTTAAAAAGTAAATCTGACGAAGAATTCAGTTCCACTTCAAAACCTACTACACATGGAATTGTGATACATCCAAAACTTGGGATTTAAAGTTTATATTTTAATTTGATTTATAATCTATAATTATTTACCGTATTGTATCAATGTATAGTTTATTATCTACAGTTTTTCTTTTTTCCTCTCATAGACTCCAGTTGTCTTTACTACATATATTTAAAGTTCAGCAGAGACATGTTTTGATTAGAAATGGGATATGAAATATCTTATGGTATTTTAAGTTTTTAATGATGTATTAGAATACACTAGTCATGCGATATTTTAGATTTGTTGATTATCCACCTGTATTTTACTACTTATATAGTTTTTTATTATCTGTATCATCTATTTTTATATTCTTGTATCTGTGTTAGTATTATTTTTATTTTATTCTTTGAAAAGTATAACATGTAGCTTGTAAAAATAAATAAATAAACCTCACCAAAAATATCAATTCAATTTTATAAATGAGTAGTCCACATGATACCGCAGTTAATACTGAGAGAGAGAGAGAGAAATCACACACAATAGCAAACAAGAGCTAGAATCAGTTTAATTTATTCAGTTTTAAAACCAGAAATGTGTGAATTAATTGTACAAAAGGAAGAATCAATCTTGCTTTATTTGGGTTTGTTACAGTTTTAAATAAATTTCGCCCACTTTTAAAGCTTGGAAATAAAAGGAAAGACTTAAAATATCTCTTTGACCCAGGAAGCATTCTCATGTTGGAAAGTTTTGTAGAGATTAGAACAGGATTGGAAAATCTGGACTAATATTGTGGATGAAATGGAATGTTATGTTAGTAAACTAATGTGCAGTTGGCTCCTCCTGCTTCTTTATTCTAAGTATAGCCCCAGTGTGAGTACAATAAGGCGGGGAGGGAATATACAACTCTTTTCCCTGCTGATTCCTCCTGCCTTTTTTAAAAAGTGGCTTTAAAAAAACAACACAAATAACCCTGATTGCTACATGGCAGTGTGCCACCAAATGAGAACATGTCTTGGTGCTTATTCAAACATTTTTGTGGAGTTCTAACCACCCCACCCCCGATACATCTTCCACTCAGGTTAAATTTGCACTTTGATTAGAGATGGGCATTTGGCTGCTGTATTGACTTATACATAAACTTGAGACTAGTCAACATATCCACTGGGACAAAAATGAGTCACATTCAATGGCAATTTTGTTGCAATATGAAATCTACAAAAAATATCAGATCAGAATTGAATACTCAATAAATAATTGAGACAAATGGAAAGCAGCTATGACTGACAATATTAGATTGGCTATTTATTTTAAAATATGGGATTAGGGAAAAGCTGTGTATATGGTAAAATATTTGCATTGAAACTAGTGTCTTCCTTGTTTGGTGGTCATAATGACTAAAATCTAGAAATGTATAGAAATATTATCTTGACCTCAGTTTGTTATAGGAAATATTAATTGGCTTTCAGCACATAAAAAGGATGGGATATGTTCTTAAATATGTATGTATCTGTGTTATATTTTAGATATAAATACCTACTTCAGCATACATACAGAGATGGGTTTAAAGATCATGTTCTTAAACAGCATTGATTGTATTCTTTTCTAGATTATATACTATAGATCTAGAGTATTTCGAGCTTCAGGGGTTCCACTACTTAAGTTATGCAAACTGCAAAATGCTATACTTATTAAAATACAAGTAATCATCAGAATACCACATATTATCGCTACAATTGAGGCTTTTGACAAAGAAGGAACAAGCACAACTGCTTTTGCTATATTAGATACTTGCCCAACATTTTTGCTGTCATCAATGGCCCGAATGGCAAAAAAGACTTCAGTGCCATTTTCTTTGGTGAAATTTTTTGTCTTATACTGAAAGTTCTGTTTGACCCCAGCAACTTCAGGTTTCAGATCAGATAAGTTCACAGAAAGGGCACTATGAAAATTAGCATCTTGTAAATCCAAAGGATTTTCACTCATCTTCATTTCATAACTTTCAGCTACAAAATAACACAACACATTAATTTTAGAAATATACATGTTCAGAGGTGAATCAAGTGAAATGTTGGTGTTCTGTTGTCAGAAGCTGTCTCCATATTACTTTAGAAGTCACCACTGTCATGGAATCCTTCCAAGCTGCAGAGGACTCTGACACATGTTCAATTGCCACAGATAGTTGATCCACTCCATTTAAAACAAAAGCATGCCTTAGTAATAAAACAAGTTGCATCTATTCAATTTTAACTAGCAAGGGCGGTTCCAGGAAGACAATCCTCAAATTAATAATAGGTAGGATTCCCTCCACTTCATCTCTCCCCTCCTTCTGCTTACGACAGAATTTCAGACTTACCTGTTCCATTGTCATAATCATCCCCAGGAGCCGTCCATGACAAAGAGAATTCATCATTAAGATTGAACAGAACCTCAAGGTCAGCGATTCTACACGGAGGGTAGATATCTTGATAGCCTCCAGGAGGCACTCCTGTCACTGCAACTGAACTTGCTACTACAGTTCTATTAAAGTTGAACATGCCTCCTGTCAGTTTGGTCTTATCAACTGTTGGTTTTGGTGGATTCATGTGTATAGTGCCTAGCATAAGAAATTTAGGAGAAGGAGAAGGAAGAGAAATCACATTACATTCCAGTACTCTCAATAATCTAATAGCCTATTTGAATTATCTGTAAAGACACTGATATCATAATTATCACAATTCACATTTGGGAAAGCAAAAGAGTAGGTAACATCAAAATTTTAATAATGCCATATATGTATTTTTATAGCTATTAGTTATAGTATTAGTTATAAAACGAATGACCTATAGAGTATATAAACAGAGAGCAAACCCCATTCCATTCTAGCACTGAAGATGTTACCGAGCCAGGTAATGAAACCTTTGCAAGAAAACAACCAAGCTCAGAGAACCCCAAGGACTCCACAGATCTAGGTTATCCACACTGAAGGCACCTTGGGTTGCTTTAGGTAGTATCTTTGCTTCTAAAGTACACATTATTACATTGAAACCCAAACATTTAGTAGATAATGTAATATTAGCCACTAGCATATCTTTCCTACATAGCCTAATATTTTTACTTCATTTTGTAACAGTTAAATATATAGTTGAAAAATTATATACTGAAAACTAAATTTACTTGGAAAGCTAAATGATAAAGGAAACAGAGACAGAAACATTGTACACTGTAATGCAAAGAATTATTAGGGAAAAAACATTGTCAAAAGAGAGAAAACCCCAAAGCAGTTACAGGGTAAGGAACGACAAGGGAAAGCCTCTCCCTGAGAGTCCTATTTCATTTTTAAGCAACATGGGTTCATTCTTTCCCCCCTCATTCTCATTCCTCTGCACTGAAATTATTGGTCTTTGATAACGAATCCTTACCATTTTCTATATAACCCGGTAAATATAAAGCTAGATTCTCTCTCAGGACTTGTCGGGCAATCTTATCTTTCCTGTGGGCACACACTTTTATACTGTATTTACCATTCTCTTTGAATGAAGTGAAATACCTGGAGTAGATTCCATCATGCTTGATAACGTCTGCACCTTGGCAAAGAAATAGTAAAAATTAAACTCCAATGACTGTAGCAAAACCATCAAAAACTTTCTGTATCTATTTCTGTTTTCACGGAAACAAATATTTGCTTCCAGGATAGAGAATCAAGTACAAGTGGGTGGCAATGGAAATCTAACTTTTAAAAAAATATTAGAAAATTGGTAATCAGAACAAATATCTATAGTACGATGGGTTTACACTTGGTAAACTATCAGACAGGACCTTTTCTAATTCCAGAATTAGGAATATACTGTGCATAAGTCTTGGTGTGGATGCTCTTGAGGCAGTAATTCTTTAAAATCTAACAAAATGCTAGTGATAACCAATAACGTTCAGATGGTGTGATTTCAGTGAGACATGATTGGTTGAGTGAAAGATGGTTGGGGAACTCCTTGCACGTATAGCTTTACGCAGCCAAATTTGCATACAAGAGAAGAAAAACAAACAGAGGCTGGTGCTGTTGATATGATGATGATGCCTCTTCTTGTCACCCTTCCCAGGTAGACCAGACAGGAAACACAACCAAATGAGCTAATTCTACTTTATTGTAAGGCTACATTAACAGAATCTTGCAAGTCTGAAACTACAAATCTCCCACCATCTCTTCTACCTCCTGATAAGCTATGGTTTTTCCAGTAGTAATGTATGGCTGTGAGAGCTGGACCATAAACAAGGCTGAGTGCCGAAG